CTTCAGTAAGACTTGTATCCCAGAAGCATTGCCTTCAGTTGGCCCTGTGTTTCGGATACCCATTTTGAAGAAGTGAAGAAATTGCTTATTCAGCTGAAGTCATACTTCAATTTCTGGGGGGGGCAAGAAGCACTCTCAGTGCAAGTATGTACGGCAGAATTGAAGTATGTTCGGCAGAATTGAAGAAACAGAAACAGTAAAGCATTCAAAAACAAAGCAACTGAAGAAAAGAGCATCAGATTAATAATTCATGCTCAGAAATTGAGCTACAAGTTCAATTAAACTGTATCGGCAGCCGCCCACAAGCGGAAAATAACAGCTGCCGAAATACGTACATAAGCAAAAATAAATAAACTGTTGTACGACAAGGCAAGCTGAAGCAAAAAAACAAGGCAAAAAATTCAGAAAGCGGCAAGTCTAAAGTTAAGCGCATGATGAACAGCAAGATTCTGAAGACGACTGCCCGAGTTCCTATGCTTCAGCCTGAGGATCAGATTGATCAGCGTTGAGCCCCATGGTGGCCTCAGCCCCAGCAGCAGAAGAAGCGGGCTTTGCACTCTGCCGAGCCTCCCTTTCCCTCTGTTCAGCTTCCAACTCCATTCTCTCAGCTTCCTCTTCGGCTTCCTCAGCCTTAAGAATTTCAGCTTCGACTGGAGTTGCATACTTCATATGAGGGTCTTCGGGATTCTGGACCCATTCAGCACATTTAGACCAGTCCAGCTTCGGTTCAGCATGAAGGCAGACTCTTCGGCATACTCTGAACCCGTTTCTGAAACCCATCTCATATTCCTCTTGGGTATAGACACGGACTTTGAGTACAGCCTCAGCATCAGCCAGCTTCTTCTGGGTCTCCTCCAAGTCTTCCTTGGATTTCTTCAGCTCATCAGCGAGCTTGGAGGAGGAACCTTTCAGCTCATTCAGCTCCTGCTGAACTTGGGAAGCCTTTGTCTGAGCCTGGGCCACTTCAACTTTTTTGGTCATCAGTTGATCCTCAGCCTCATGGAGTTTAGCTCTCTGAGCTTCGGCAGCAGCAGCAACCTCTGAGAGTTGGACATCTTTGGCCTGGAGCAGCTCTTCAGCAGCCATTCGGCTGGCTTCAAGAGCTTCTAGACGTTGCTGCACTTCAGCTTGTGCAGCAGCTCCTTCCTGAATACGGCTCTCAACAGCAGCCTTGAATTTGGAGACGTCCACTCCCATATGCTCCTGGAGGAATTTTTCCCCTTCCATAGCGTCGCAGAAGGTTTAAAGGGCTTCAGCAGCTCTTTTCTCGTACTCCTCACCCTTCTGCTGCTTCTCTTCAGCTGCTGCTTGCTTCAGCTTAGCAAGCTTTAATTCCTCTTCAGCTACCTTCTTGTCGTGCACAGCAGCGTCTACCCTATCTTGTAGGGTATCTATCAGCTCTACTGAAATCAAAGGAATTTACCTTAATCTGAAGCGAAAGTTGCCGATTTACGAGTTCGTAGTGGCAAGTCTCAGTTTCTAAGCTTAATGCTCGGGGAATTTGCGAAGTTTTGATGCGGGTTCTTGGTTTCTCTCTCGAGAATTCTGGGTTTGTGTTGGTGAATAAGTGAGGAGAGATGACGCGCCTCTGTTTATATCTCCAGGAATGGGATACGAGGAGTCTGCGTTTTAATTTCTCTTAAATACTCCACTAAGTAACCGTTAAACACATGATCTTGTGATTAAACTGCCCATTATCCGTCCAACTTCCACAATCATCCGCCTTAACCGTTGTTATCTCATTAATTACGGTTTAAATTCAAATTTTTGGATTAATTAAATCATTTACTTCCCTCCTTTTCTGAATTAAATCAAACCCGACCCGTCATCCTTCCAAATCGGGTCTGGGGGGCAAGTTGTTTGGGTCCAATTTAGTCCAATTGGGCCTAGGCACTAAATGATCCAATTAAAAGCCCAAGGTCAAGGTTCAACTCTCCAATTGTGCTAAAGTCAAAGGTCAGCCCACAAAGCAAGCCAATTGGGCTAAGGCCCAACCTCTCCATGTATGATGAGGTATAAAAGCCATCAATATATTCATTCATATGTTCATTCATATGTTCATTCATATATTCATTCATATATTCTGATATATTCCATTAAAGCCTCAAGCAACAAACTCTCTTGCATAGTGTCCTCTTCTTACACATTGTACTGACTTTAGCATCGGAGGGGCCTTCCTCGGCAACACCCCCGAGGCTAGTTTACGTGTGTTTACTGTGCAGGAAACCTTCGGCCCAACATAACTTGGACCGAATCCAGCCTTCTCCGTTTCAGCGGACCTTCGGCAAGGTCCCATTGTTTTCACCCGAAACACACCCATAAGCTTTAAAACCAATCTGCTATTCGAAATAGGAGCGTCAACTTCAGCGAGTCGATCAGCGAGAGATTTGATATGATCGCAATAGCCATCAATGGAAGAAAAATTCTCGAAATCGATCTCCGCGAGCTCTTCCTCAAGATGAGTGGCACGAGAGGCCCTGTTGTCCTGGAACATTGACTCGAGACGAGCCCGTGCCCCTTGAGCGGTGTCATCTTTGAGGAGAATAGCATGAAGGAGGTCGGTGGAAATAGTCCCATAAATCCACTGTAAAACCGCAGCGTCGAGGCGTTTCCATAGAGCCGGATCCGCATCTTTGGTGGCCTGATAAGTGGCTTTCTCCTTCGTCTCCGTAGGAGGAATAATATGATTGTGTAAGTCATGAACCCTAATTATGCTACAATAGCAATCCTAGGCTATAATTAAGCTAACGAACTAGGAAAGGATATGCACAAAATATACACTTAACTAATATATTATGAATATATTTTATCAGTCTCCTATTCTCTAGATTTTTCAACACTTGTCTAATATTACACGTATCTAGATTAACTTAGATGTTTTACAAGATATTTTTAGATACAACATCACTTGAGTTTTCTACTCCATTTAACATTTTTCATTGCACACCTAAATTTTTCTAAATTAACCTCTAATACGTAATACATCACTCAACTTAGATTTTTTACAAGATATTTTTAGATACATCACTTGAGTTTTCTACTCCATTCTAGATTTTTCATTACACACCTAAATTTTTCAAAATCAACCTCTAATACTTTTTTTAACTAGAAAAAAATAGGATGTTCTAACGATGATATGAAAATGTCAAGATTTTGTACAAGGAATCTTCGCATATAATTATAAAGAATACTTTGATGACTGTTTTTTGTGGTAAATTACTAGGTACATTAAAAATGGTGTAAATATGTGGTCATTTTATGAAAAGTATGTTGCCATTTTTTTTGGGTAGGTACCTTTTAATCCTTTATATTTCCTCTTTATGAGGTATATATTACTCAACCTCAACGTATTCTTCTAATTCATTTCAAATATTCAATCCAAGAAGTAAAATTCCAAGTTTTGGAATAATATTACTTTATAAAATTTCCTAAAAAATTTTGCCAATTTTTTTTTTTCATGAAGAGCACTATTTTGTGAAAAGTGGAAACACATTAGTTTGGAAAATAGTTTTTAGTTTCGACAATCTATCTCTTTCTTATTAAATTCCGTCTTTATTATTCTTTTATAATAAAGGTGATTGGTCGATATAATCTATAAAAAGAAATCGGTTTTGGTTCTTGTCCAGTATATGGGATGGTCTTGCATACTCGATTATAAGAGTTAGGAGAAAATTATAACGGGAGGTCGACCCGATCTATATTTTCCTCCACCCTCTTGTAATCTAACCTTCCTATGCACTAGAGAGGATCCTTTACTGAAGTCATGGCTTAAGTTGCCGTGGAGAAGTGTATGAACAAGGAACTTAAAATAGATGCAACAAAGGAGAAGACATTTTCTATTTAAGCTTCATGTTCATGTCCTTCTCCACGGCAAAAGGCACGCCTAGGTAAGTCTATTATGCATCCGAGTGTATATACACACAAATTATATGTAATTAAATAACTTAGATAGAAAAGGTACATTTTTTTTATTTGCTTTGACAAGCAGTGTAGTGTACATATGTTCATAATGATTGGTTAATCTTCCTAACAAATTATTTCTGATCATTTCTACTCAGAGGATTCAACTGATTCCATGTTACTCGTTAACAGAAAAAGAGAGCTTGGGACATTGAAGAGCGGTAATGCTAGGGCCTCGGATCAGCAGTAAAGGTCTGAATCTGAAAAACAAGAAGCTATTTCCCTGAACGAGCATCATTGAAGTTATAATCTTCCATTTCAATGAGATGTACAGTTGCAAATTTTATGTTGATACAGAGCTCTGAAGGATGTCACATTGGCCGGCTTCTTGTCTCTCTATTACTTCGGTCTTGCAGCCTATCAAATGAAGTTCTATGCCTAGGAAGAACAGATGAATTTTGCCTTTTTATTTTACATGTGTATATAACATAACTTCTGTAACTTAATGCTCTGGCATTTTGTATCTCCCTAATCAGTAACCATATAAACTCCCTCCATTCCAAACATGTGTATTGTTTCGCGAAAAGCTAATAACAGTAAGGCAACATTATATACTCATTTTCCACCTTATATTAAGCATAACAACGCTAACTTACATACCAAGGGATTATACACTACCCTCAAAGGCTCAAATGACCAAATGATCTTGTAAAATGTCCATTACTCTCCAAACCCTGCCATTTTTAACCCTTTTATTTATGGGATCCAAACCTTTTTCACCATTCAGAATGTAAAAAGTAGCTTACCTTTCAAGGTCTCTTATATAAAGGTGTAAAGACACAAGCCTCCAAGGTCGAATTGAAATCTAGGTTGGCTCAAAGCTGCCGAGCTTAAGGCCCAAGCTTGAAGTGCCTTCAAATTATTTTGAAAATAAAATGAGCCATATTCATCGAATAAAACAATGCTTCGTACACTCAGCCAGTCAGCCTGTCTACGCCAAAATTAACAGGGCTTGGACTTGCATCTATACACTATAAAGATTTGATAGGCTCGCTGAGTTTTGATTGAGTCAAGACCAAGTGCTACACAAGCAAGCTAGGTTTGGTTACAGCTGCATTACAAGCAGAGTTCCGTTCGTTTAAGAATTCCCTTAACAGTACATGCTTCAAAAGTTTTCTAGAAACTTCTTTGGACAAAATATATAGAAAAAAAAAAAAAAAAAAAATTCAAACACTGGTAACAACATTATTCAAACAAACTATCACACCATTCGCTAGGATTATAGAGTTTGATCAAACAACATCATCTCCTAAGTATGAGTGTATGAATAATTAGTTTGGAATAGAAAATGATGGGGAAGGGTCAAGACAGCTTCCCTGAAGTTCAATGTTCCAGGCTATGAGTGTCTCTATATTGCCAAGCAAAGACTTCTAAATCGGTAATTTATACATTCACTCCAAACAACGGCTGGCCCTCTTTATCACCAATAATGTGTATAGCAGAAATACAGCATTTGAAGGGACTAGTTTGTACTCTCTTGAGGTGCAGGAGATGATGAATACTTATAAATTGCCTCTGTGATTCTCTCTTTGTCTCTGGTAGGAAACGCTTCCAGCAGAACCCCGTTTTTGTAGAAGTGGAATAGTGGCACTGTCTGCATTTGAAAAGAACCATTCTATCATAATCAGAATGAAAATGTCTTGGTAACAGGCTAGGTGTACATGTAAGAATTTGTTCTCTTCACCGTATAGAGTTAAGTTTCAGGAATGATAAATCTCAGGTAAGAGCCAATAAGTTCCAAAGGGGCAACTCGAGTTCAACTCACAACTTTAGTTCAAAGAAGTTTGAATGAGGACTAATGAAACTGGTATCAGTAAAAACAGTAAGGCTTATACGGGGAAAATCCCACCACATTGTTAAGCATGTGGCAAACTAGAGAGTTTGCCTGATAAAATAGACTGCCAATTGATTGAACTAATGAGGGACATGAGGATTTGTTATCTACATCTGTAAAAAGGTTTATCAACTATGCAATCATGCCGTGTCCAATTCAAGAACTTCCAGATGCAGGCAGTCTCACCCTATAGACAGAGATAGGGACAACAGTAGTACAACTCTATGAGCTCTACTGTAACAGATGCATTGTATGTAAAAAGTTACTTTACTTTCTACTGAACCTATTCCTTAATGAAAACTTAAGGTGATCTGAATGAGATATATGTGTGATCAAACTGAAAGATTTGAAGCATAGAGTACACAGAGCCAGTTATTTACCTTGATTCTAAGTCGTTCAGCAACCTCTGATTGCTCATCATATTCGTCTAACACCTGGAATACATGGAAGCATAGGTACAGACTCAAATCAATTGCTAAAATCTCCTTGACAGAAAGCAATAACAGAAAGATAAACCAAGGAAACTAAATAAGAAAATATTGCAAGATCAAAGGCAAAAATAGTGAATTGAGTTCTCACATTATGCTTTAAGAATATGACAGGAACATCATCATCACCAGAAGCTTTGCAGAGTTTAGAAAACCCTTGCTCGATGTACTTGCAGCTGCCACAAGAAGTACGATAAAAGTCTACCACAACCAAAGTATTATTCTTCTTGGCCTTCTCTAAAATTCTCAAGAACTCTTCATCAGTATAGAATTCTCTGACACATTCGACAGGGCACAGATCTTCTTCTTCTTCTTCATCAAGTATAAAATCTTGATTTTCATCCGTAACAGACTTCAATGATTGCTGCTTAACACTCGAGTCATTGATCACGGAAACCACACCTACAAACCCATTAAAAATAGCTGGATTTCTAGGCCTCGACACAAATATTGAGTAAGTTCTGAAATTAAATTGCTCGTTACAGTAGTTCCTCAAATGAATTGGTGATCTATATGTACAGCAATTGTAACACAGACGCAATATGGATCCTACTGTTGGCATGATCTAAGAATATCGGCAATTATAAGTTGGTAAAATTACAGATGTGTTTACAATAACATAACAGTATTATAACATTTCTAATTATATGTTCCTAAAATCTTAACAACTATGAAGCATGAAACCGAGCTACAATTGAATAGCCCAATGCATTCTTTCAAAAGAAGGCCTTCAACTTAATTATGATCTGCAAAATGATGCCATTCGTTCTGTGAATCAGAAGTGAGGAACCTTACACTTATACATAACAAAATAATAATATCAAACCCACTAATGGGGTCAGCTATATGAACCAAAAATTAATCATCTATAGTCCGTAAACTAGAAATTAAAAGGCTACATACAATTGAGAAACATATTCAGTATGTATCACTAAAATAAAATGCAACTTAATTTTGATAGGCGAAATTGAAAATCTTAGCAGAAATTCAGATTATATTCAAATGGGTATGTTTTATTAATAAATTATAATCTATTCAAAATTAGAAAAAAATTCAAGTAATTCAAAATAGATAGTCTGATTATGTTTCATATGTATATTATATTTGGATTTTCTCATAAAATAAAACACTTTAAATCCTGAACAAGTAATTCATTCTATACAATTTGCGATCACTTATACAAGTAACATTACATACATCAATGAAATTAAAAATAAATAAATTACAAATTGTTAAAAATAAAATATAAATAAAGGGAAATACCTTAAAGCAGGGCAGTGTAATGGTTGGATTAGAATGGTGGTTCCCGCGCACGAGATAGAGTTTGTAACGAGTGATCAGCAACAAAGCAAAGTTCAAAGGGTTTAAATATCGCCTTATCCATTTCTCTCTTCTTGACTTTCTTTTTATTCATTTTCACTTTGGTCTAATGTCCCATTAATCTTACCTCATATTTGGAAAAAAAAAACATATAGGCAATGTTCAGTAAATATAGTTGTAAAGGTAGTTATAAGCTCTGCGAGTAATTGTTATATCAATAAACTATTAGTTCTGAAAATTGAAAATTAAATATAAGTATTAGGTGAAGTAATTGTTAACTAGCTATCAATAATAATAACATAATACTAAAACAAACATAAGAAATGATACATGTCACTTTCTGGTGCTTTTTTTCCCCTCTAAAGCTCCCTCTCCCCTATAACAAAAAATCTTTTATTTTTGGAATATTTGTATAATACAACTATAATAATATTATTTCAAATCTTATATTTATTATCTTTATATAAATTAAAATGTATTTCTTCTTATTTCGTGTTCTTAATTCTCCCATACACATTTACCTAAAATATTATTCTAACTCTTTCTAAATTTTAGAAAAAGTGAGCCACTGATTCAAGTACAAGATACTTCATTACCGCCTAGACATCTTTTGAACGGAGTATTATTGAATTTTGTCAAAAAAATAATAATAAAATTGATATAATTGATAAATATTAAAGAAATTACTTAAAAACATCACTTTAATTTTTTTCCAAGTACCTCTAATATTTTGTTTCTTAGACTAAAGGAGTATTAGATATGATATATTGTGTTAAAAAACTATATCATATATATAATTCTAGGAAAATGTAAAATATCAATCATTTTTTTGTTATTACATATTTAAAATAATTAATATCTTAGTAAATACAAAAAAAAATTATCATGTTTTGCTGAAACATTTGATTGAGAATTAATTAATTACATTCGACTTTCATAAATAAGCTGCATAGTAAATGACACGTCGGACGTAGTGACAAGTGACATCTTCTTAAATATCCCATTTTTTTGGATAAATAGCTATCAACTACAAATAAACTTTTAAGGCAATAAACAAACAATGTCAAACTACAATTATTGGTTAGCTTCAAACACATTTTTATATAATAACAAAGAGAGACGATCATATGTAGAGCATCAATCCTTAAACAGAAAATGTACTACTAATAATATAAGTTAGTGTTTTCTAATTATGGATTATTATTGCCTTTAATGATCCAAGTAGTATTTATTTCCATTGAAATTATTTTATTGGATACAAAGGTGATATATTATTTGTAATTTATATATTTTACATGAATGTTGTACTAATAATTTTGTTGTAGATTTTAGTCTGTTGTTTGATTAATAATTAGATGTTTATCAAAAGGAATTTATAAATAAGTCTTTAGTCATACAGTCACTAAATTGTATAGTTTTATTGAGAATAATATGAATCATTAACGTAATATAATATATACTATTTTAAAATACTTTCAACACAACTAATCAACAATATTTTTTTTTTCTCAATTGTAATTTTAATAATTTTTGCCTTATTATTTTATTTTTCAATATGCATTGCATTTGTTTATTCCACATGAGTTGCCTCATTTTTATATTATATCATAATTTATTATGGAAAAAAGATTATTACTATCGTGCATCGCACGGGCACTAATCTAGTTACATATATAAATTAACATTCTTCCTAAAAGTATAGAAAAAAATTCTCAACAACTATTAATTTTCAAAAGTTGAGTAATAATTTTAGGTTTTGATAAAAACTTTAATACTAAAAGATACCCGGACCACTATAGTGACAAACACTCATTTTTTTTTACTCTGTATTAAGTATTCCCTCCGTATTTTATTACTTGTGTCCACTTTTCTTTTGCGGTCGTATTTTATTACTTGTTCCATTTTCATTTTTGGAAAATTTTAACAATGTTTTACTATTTCCCTCCCCACTAGTGGTCCCCCCATATCATACTTTAATATTTTCATATTCTCTCTCTTCCCAACTTAGGACTTGTTCTCTTCAACTTGTTTCAGATACTTATTATATATTCCTTAATAAATTTGTATCAAATCAGGCCAGAACAGAAACATTTAGATCAGATTAGATTAGGACTTTTAATTATCACCTACATATTGCTAAATCTCGTTAATTGCGTATTAAAATAAATTATGAAAATTACATATTTGAAAGTTCATAATGAGACGAATCTAACAAGATCGATCCATTTCGATAATGTTTTTCTATAGATTAGTATTAAAATGTGATCAAAGTTTAGTCAAATTATTAAATCAGATCAGACCAGACCAAATAATAAAAATTCAGATCAGACCTTAATAAAATCATACCAGATCTCCTTTTTTTAGGTGAAGAGAACATGTTCTTATACTCACTTTTGCTTTTTAAATTTTTTATTCTTCAACTAACCCCACTTCCATCATATTTTATTACTTTCTACTATTCCACTTAAAACTCTGCGCATAGAGAAATGAAGCAAGTAAAAAAATACGGAGGGAGTAGTGGTTTAACCTGGTCAAACCGTTAAAAGCTACTCAAAAACTAATGTCGAACTATCTAAATCAGGTGAAAATAACCAATCCAACAAGATCTCAATTCAACAAAACCCATCTTAGATTAGTTCACTTAGGATCATATCATTGGGCCAAGATACCATATTCAAATAAGTTGGGTTGTAAGAATGTAACATAAGCAAGCCCAGTCAAGGGCCCATCGTTCACAAAATAAAAGTTGCAAAAAGCTCATTGTTGAGCATATCCTCGACCTAACCAAAGTGTATGATTTGCATTTACTTTCACACCAAAAAGATGCCCAAACTTGAGATGTACTGTAATACACATAGACTTCTACACACTGACACTTTGTAGAATATCAGAAAGGTTTTCCATACATCCCATTGATTGAACTCCATCAGAAATTTGAAAGATGCTAATGCATTAAATGCTTCACCTTATTCTTGTACAACCCATTTGATAACCAATTACTCCCTTAATCCTTTTTTGTTGCATCATGGCCTACTTTTTATGAGAATTTTTTGAGTCAAATGGTACAAATAATAAGGGACGGAGGGAGTATAAGTAGTCAGTAGCGAAAAGAATTGAAGTTTAATTTCACTAGCAAAGTAACACCGTTAAATTCATTTTGCGTGTTCGCGGTGCGGTTTGGATCTTAAACTACACCAAACCGTAAAATTGCGGTTTGCAATTTTTTCAAACCGCACTTCTAAAAAAGCGCACCAAACCGCACCCAAAAATGCGGTTTGGCAAAAATACGATTTGGTGCGGTACAGTTTGCAGTTTAACCATACTTTTTTAAAATTATAATTATTCTTTTTAACCAAACTTTTATTTTATTTTGTAATTATTAATTTTTAATTCAAATATTAAATACTTTTTTTTTACCTCTAATTAACTAATAGTCAAAGATTAGCTCATATATTTTAGTTCTTTTATATTTTTTTAATAAAAATATAGTATAAAAACCGTAAATCGCATTAAAGTGCGGATTGCGGTGCGATTTGGTCTAAATATTTTTTGAAACCGCACCAAATCACAAACCGCAGTTTGGTTTGGTTTGGTGCGGTCTAAACCGCACTCTATACATCCCTAAAGTTCACAGTGATGCTATCTTAACTCCAAATTTCAACTTCCAAATTGATAATATAGGTAATAATACAATTTTGTGAATGAAGAAATAAAAATAATTTGAGGTGACATATCATTAATTCATTACCATGTGAATGGATATTGTTTGTTACAAATTCACATACATATTTATTCATATTAAGGTATTACCACCATTTATATCGCTTATAATTAAATGAGCCGATATAGTCATAATTTGTAGTTTCCGTTTAAGAAATGCTTGAAAACTACCAAAAAGAAAAAAGATGTTACATGAATGATGAATCTTAATTGTAGCAAGTTGTGCAACAATACCTATATTTGTTAGAAATATAATATTCCGTAATTACAAGACCTCGACCATACTCGATATTTTGAGCTAAGCCTAAAAGTCCAAAATTATGCATAACATTTAATAATTCAACAAATGTGAACCCAATTTAAACAATCCGTTCACAACCTCTAACAAAAAGAATCACTTCTACAAAAGGAAGGGGTAGGTGTTTATTATTGATCTCAATATAATAAATTCTACTCCCTTCGTTCCTTTATCAAAATCCTATTTTTAATATTTATTACTCACATAATAAAGAGAAATAAATTTCAAATTAAAGTACGGAAAGAGTACAACAATTCCTTTAAAATCATACTCCATTCACCATTACATAGGACACTTTAAGCCAGGGTTTAACTTTAGAAGGAAAAAGGTAGCAGAAAGAGCTAAACAAAAATAACAAAAAGCATAAAAACTCATTGACCGTAGTAAAAATATGGGCAATAACTTTAGAAACAAAGAGAAGGTAATAATGAGTGAGTAAAAACACAAACTTTGTGAAGAAAATAGAGAAAAGGAAATTAAAAAGGAAGGAAAGGTGGAAGCAATAAATATTGACCAAAATACCTCAAAACCCGTGAATCAATCATGAACCCCACCTTATATAAGTTATAACTAAGTTGTAATAGTAATTTATTTATTTATTTATTTATTTTATTTTTTATTTTTATTTTTTATTTTTGTAATTTTCTTAACAAATGCTAGTAATATGGCAGAAGCGAATAAACGTGTAAAATTATAAATATTAAAGTAAAATAAACAATAATTACGACAATTGACGCGTGATTTTAACATACATTTCAAATTTTATACCATTTTTGGTAATATATTACTTCCTCTGTGTTTTAATAAGTATTATAATTTAACCAAATACGTATGTCGAGACACGATTTTGACCATTAATTTATCTAATTATATGTCAGTAAAATCATAAGAAATTTTATAATATGAAAATATACATTATAACGATTCCAACAATGTATTACATAATAACATTTGTTTTTATATATTAGTAAATTAATCAAGTCGAAACCATTATGTAAATGGTAAAAAAAGTCAAACTGTAACAATTATTAAAATACAGAGGGAGTAAT